TAAGCTTCAGGGACAAGCTCATATTATTGTGTTTCTTCAAAAATAGTTTTGTAGACTGCAGGTTTATGTCCAGGATCGCTGCATACCCAATAGTTTAAAGAATGCATTTGTAGCTACTGCAGATGTCTCATGTCAAGTCTACACGATGTGTGTTTCCAACGAGTGTGCGAGCATAGTTGCTCGCCATTATTGGTGTCAGAAAGCAATGCCTTATTTAAAAGAAGGCACAAATCCCTCTTAAATTCATTTAATTCAAATCCTGATGAAGAGACCCCACTCCTTGTGATCCCAGCTGATGGAACAATCCAGTTATTCCTTTCTCAAGGACACTGCTGCATATAGCCATTCTGTTCCAAGGTCTTCACAGGACTAACTCACTGACAGTTGAATGTGAAACTATCTTTAAATTGATAAGCTTCAGGGACAAGCTCATATTAATGATTTTTTAAAAAAAAACATTTTCATAGACTGCAGATTGTTCTTTTGACAAACTTGTGCACGTTTCATAGTGCTACCTGTCAAAACACACTAATGTGAAGGTTCAAAGATTTTTTTTTTTGTTTTGTTGCCTAACTACCCTTTCAAATGAGGTGAAATATCTTTCAACTCTAGCCTCAGTAAATACAGGCACTGAGCATAGATTTTTTTGTTTAATCAAGTCCCTCATTTGAACCATAATCATTCTCTTAGCTACTACTGCTGCTTTCTTTACTCCAAGCCTTTCTTTGGCCAAGTCATGTCTAATTCACTATCTTTTTTGAAGCTCAACTTTTAAAATTTCCAAACCCTTTCCATTCCTTATTTCTTTCTCTTGTCTTTTCAGTTCAAGCTTTTATGTTTCCAGTTCTATTCCCTTATGTCTCATCATTTTTCGCTGATCTTTACAACTGTTTCTTCCAATTGAAGTCTTTTAATTTCTTGAACTTTTTCTTCTAACTTTAATTCTTTTTATTTCCAATTAAATCTTGGATAATTCTAGTGGTGACCCCTCAATTCCAGGTTTGGTCCACCTGATTCTAAATGTTGGATAAACACTTTAAGCACCTTGTACTTTCATGGTTTGTTGCTATTTCTAATTTATTTGCTCACTCTTTCAATTTAGATTGAATCAAAGATTTCAAATAATCCACTGTTGCGTTTTCTACTCCCAGAGTAGATACTGAAAACTATTTTGACAGTACAAATGAATAAAATTCATCACAACATTTCTGGTTTATATCCAGGATCGCTGCATACCCGATAGTTTAAAGAATGCATTTGTAGCTACTGCAGATGATGTTGCATGCTAATTTTACATGATGATGTGTTTCCAATGAGTGTGCGCGCATAGTTACTCGCCATTATTGGTGTTAGCAAGCATTGCCTTGTTTAAAAGAAGGCACAAATCCCTCTTAAATTCATTTAATTCAAATCCTGATGAAGAGACCCCACTTCTTGTGATCCCAGCCGATGGGACAATCCAGTTTCCAAAATAAACACTTGGCTTGATGGATCTTTTTCTTTAGTTAACTTGTTAGCTATTCACTGAAACCTATTTACACAAGGCTACAACTTTTACTTAACAAGTAAATTACGTGAAATAAATGGAAACAAAATAAAACAAGCTATCTAAATATTGGAAAGTGACCATGAAACGCACAGCAAAACAAAGTCTCTCATCCCATTTTTCTGATACTATTACAGAGCTTCAGGTCCAGTGAAATTGCACCCCATCTTACTGTTTAAGTTTCTGTTTAACTAATCCTGATGCTTGTTTTTTTTCCTGGACTATGCAGACAATTTGGTGCATTCTTTCCAAATCTGGTAGGAAATGTTTCACATCTGAGAGCCTAAACTTCCTCAGTTCTCATAACCTCAAGATTTTTAAACAAACTCTCCTGGTTTGGATGTTTCACAAACTAAACCTTCTCCTGAGGTATCGATTTCCCTGAACTGCCCTGCATGACTCATGGAAGAGAAACTAAACTTGCATTTGAACTTGACCCTAGTGTTTTCTGATCTGATCTTTTTTAAAATAATTATTGCTCCTCCCATATTCTATCTGAATGGAAAATGAAAGTTTACATGTTTACCCACCCTGTCATAAATCTAAATGTACCAGTATCTTTCCTTAAACACCATGAGGATTTGCAGGCACCTGCTTTATTAAAAATGCTGGATTTCGTGCCTATTCCAGAAGGACTCCCTGATCTTAATTTTTTTTAAAAAGAGAATCTCTCAGAAATAACCCACCCCACTCTCTCTATTTGGATTGTTTGTACGAAGGAATTGAATGCCGTATCTCCAAATGTGCAGATGACAGTAAGCAGGGTGGCAGTGTGTGCCGTGAGGAGGATGCTGAGAGGCTGCAGGGTGACTTTTTGGACAGACTGGCTGAGTGGGTAAATACTTGGCAATGCAATGTAATGTGAATAAAGAGATAACCAGGTGTAGAGCTGGATAAACACAGCAGGCCAAGCAGCATCAGAGGAGCAGGAAGGCTGATGTTTCGGGCCTAGACCCTTCTTCAGAAAT